AAACAACAACCAAACAATCACTTATAAAGGCAGGTCCATAGGAGGATGGGTTTAAATGGGTGTAACCCGCTTTCAGATCGGCAACCAAAAGAAGTTACCCATAGACCCATAGATGTTTTATTTTGTTTCAAAAGGTTTCATAACTTGGTGGATGAAGAAACTTCTTTACATTTACATGATGTCGATAAATGTTTAAAGCATCGTAAAAAAGTAGTAATAAAATTCAAATATTTTTCATTGACCTTCCTGAGGTAACAAAATTATGTAGACCATTGTTATTCATAACAGTACTTATCAATTATAAAGTATTGGAACCGTTATTTTAAGGTGGGGGCGTAGTGCTCCGTTGTTGGGCCTCAGAATTAAAGATTGGAAATGTGATATTACTGAACATACCCCCTACTGTGGTCGTGTTATAAAAGTAGCAATAAACCTCGTTTGATCAGTTCAAAGAGTGAACAGAGCCCTTGTGGCGTTGGTTGTTGCCGACTGACTGTCTTTTATTTTATCAATAAAGCTCCGAATTAATTGGTCTGGCATGGTGGTCAAAGCGCTCGAGTCGCAACTTGCGGGTCGCGGGATCCAAGCCCGTCGCTACCCATGTTCGCCTTTACAATTGTGGGGCGTTATAAACTTACAGTCAATCCCACTACTCGTTCGTAAAGAATAGCTCAAGAGTACTATTGAAAGAAACAACAACAATACCATGTATATTAGCTAAATATACGTAAAAATATATAAACTACATTTTTGAAACAGTATATTAGAACAAAGACTTGTAAACTAATTTTGACACTTTCGTGTGTTCTTTATTTTTTAGGCCTAAAAGCTTTTGAGAGGGAATTTGACCTCATAGTCAAGGTGATACTTGATTGTAGTTAAGAAAAGGTTCAGATTGAAGTGACCTTCAGAAATGTTAAAGTTCGGTGCACTTTTAATAACACAGCTTCCAACAATTATTTTTCATGTAATCTTCGATTTTATATATCCAGTTCATAGGTCAAAGTCTCTTGTATGGAAAAATATTGCGTTACTTGTATTTCCATTTTAAATGTCCGTTTTGTGGTTGTTATTCTTGTGATTCAATTTCATCCTGTTTCACCAACATAGTTTTATATATATATATATATGATTGACATAGAACAATATAGTTTATGTTATAAAACTTCTCAACCTGATAAAAACATTCTTACAACCTCAAATGTATAGAAAGAATGACTCTAGGCTATGGCCTATCGCTCTTTTTAATTTTTTATTACCAGGATCAACCAAAGACGACAATGACGTTTTAACCTCCATATTAGGATATATAATTGGTGCTTCATCTAAAAGTGGATGGGCGAGGAAATCATAACATGTAACTACTTGAACTGAGAGAAGTTTCTCCCATAAGATTCCACCTCAAAACTGTGCAATGAGAGAGAGACAGAGAATTTCATTTTGTTTTGTTTTTTATGATTGAAAAAGAATAAATAGACAATTCTCGAATACTTAATAGCACTTCTGTCCCCCCAACTAACTCTTTGTTTCCTTCTGATTCTCCCCAAATTAAAACGCCACTGGATCGATTTTCCGTTGTGGACAGAGCGTAGATGGTCGAATGTGTGGCTTTAGAACAAACATACGGTTACGACATGGTATTTTGGCGATTTTGTTATTGTTAATTACGTACGACAAGTTGAGCGACTTACGCCTTCTGTGCTAACATGTAACAGCTGCAACTAAGCCTCGAATTAATGAAAATACTTTGATCTGAATCCAGTATCTATACAAAATACGAAATCGTGTTTGATGTCAGACCTAGCAAATTCAATATTTAATTCATAAAAGAAACATTACGACGTTTGTATTTTTATTGCAAATATCATAATAATCCTAAAATAAACGTTCATAAACGAATCATTTAATATAGAGATAAAACGTCGTTATTTGTTAACCTTATGCAACACATGGGCTCAAGAATGGCGACTTCAAATTTAGAACTGCTGGAATGAAGGAGGAGACCAGTCGGTAGCACCCGCTGCCCAACGTAACTACTATTAACCAAAAGCGGATTTGAATGTTACAATTATAAAGCTTCTACATCTGAAAGTGTGCTTGTTTGTTGTTAAACACAGACTTACACGATAAGCTATCTGTGCTTTGCCCACCGCTACTATCGAAATCCGATTTTTAGCGTTATACGCCCACAGTCTTACCGCTGAAAGTAAAGGACGTGCATATCGCGGTTCGAACCTTCCGATTCGTAGCCCAGCACGCTAACCACTAGGTCGCACTCGGTCAATATAAGTCAAGTTAATTCACCTTAATGAAAATAAATCTTCTATTTTTTTTTCATCATTTGTAATTGTTTTTTTGTGTTTTGAATTTCGCGAAAAGCTACACGAGGGCTATCTGCGCTAGCCGCCCCTAATTTAGCAGTGTAAGATTAGAG